GCAACGATCCTTTGTCGAATCAACCCCTCGACAAAGAGAACATTGTGTCGGACTGGCGCGGTCGCCTATACAATTACGAATCCATCCTCCAAGGCCTCATGCCATCCGACGACAGCACCGAGTCGCCACCATCTAATCCCGAATCCCAAGAACTCACATTTGCTTCGACCGGCATCAAGTCGTTGCGCGATATTGTCAAGCTCAAGTTCCACAAGCATACACCACCAGGCACCAAGAAGGATATCTGGGTCTGTCCCATCTCTCTCAAGGAGCTGGGCCCACAAGTCAAGTCCGTCTATCTGGTACCATGCGGGCATGTGTTTGCCGAGGTTGCTATCAAGGAGATCCAAGAGTCAGCATGTCCAGAGTGCAGTGAAGAGTTCAAGAGCGAGAACGTGGTACCAATCTTGCCAACCGAGGAGCGCGATCTCAGGAAACTGGTGCAAAGAATGGACGATTTGACCGCTGCAGGGCTTACACACGGCTTGAAGAAAGACAAGAAAGCTGGCGGCAAAAAGAAGCGCAAGGCAGAGGATGATGCCAAGGAAAATGGCAACGGCGACAAGCCTGAGAAGAAGAGGGCTACGGATGATGCAAAGGCTGCAAAGAAGGAGAGCAAGACGAGCAACATTAACAATCCAATGGCCGCATCATTAACAGCCAAGGTCTTGGCTGAACAAGAAGAGCTCAGCAGGCGGAGGAAGATGGCATCATCAAGAGCTTGATTCTGTCCCAACTGGGAAAAGGCCATGCTGTAACGCAAATGAACAAACAAAAATGATACCCCTTGGCCCCTATTCCATGTTGCTCACCCTACGCGAAGAATCAGAGACCACCATTTGCAAGTACCGAAAAACGTTTTGGCCATTCCTAATGCATCCTTTCTACTCGGTCTAAGGCAGACGAACCTGACGCCAAGCTAAGCAGACCCAATGCTGAATTCTTCCTGGACACACGCTGCGTGCCGTTGCTGCCTCTACAGCTCATCCTTGCCCTTGGGCGTAGGAGGCTCAAGGAGCTCGTCACAGGCGGCAGGAGTGCCCACCTCCATCTTGTAGACGCACTTCTCCGACTCCGTGACCTTCCAAAGCTCCTCCGTCTCACTGCAGGCCAGCCAGACATCAGTACGTCTCTGAGGGCCATTCCAGCAACCCTGGCCGTTCTCGTACCGCATGACCATGCGAAGGCCCTTGCCGAGGCTCTTGCCATCGACGCGCTCCTCGTCATCAGCCATCTCCTTGTCGATGCGGACAAAGTTGCCCATGTTGGTGTGACCGCCGCCCTTCTTCGACTTCTGGTTGGTCTTGTCCATCCAGCAGAGCTCGTACTCGTACTCGCCAATCTCGGTGCTGACGCACTTGTCCCTTAAGATGCGGAAAATGTCATCAGTGCCGTAGTCCTTCTCCAGATCCTTCTGCTCGGTCTCCAGCTGGTGCTTCTTGTCAGAGAGATCGTTGTTGGCCGAGTTGAATGCCTCGCGGGCAGCCTTGACCAGGCGAGACTCGGCACCGCCGTTGTTGTTATCAGCAATCAGGCCATTTTCAATCATCCAGACTCTGAAAGACAAGAGCTTGCCGTGGATGAACTCGCGGATGCCCTCGGGGAGGTAGGCCTCGAAGTTGTAGACTAGGCATGGTCAGCCATATTTTTTCACCATCAATCTTGTTCAAGGGTCTCGCGTACGAATGTCAGTGTCAGAAACGTCATCCTCCTCGAACTCCTTCCAGTTGATGCCTGAAGACTCATTGTCCTCGACAAGAACCTCCTTGATGTCGGCCTCGAGGCCATCGGGCAGTGGGTCGTTGGCAAGGTTGGCAGCGTAGTCCTCCCAGCCCTTGACGGCGCGCTTGACACCCTCATCGTTGAAGTTTGGATTGTGCTCCTCCTTGAAGCGGCTGAGAATACCCTCAAGCTCCTTCACCTTGCTCTGGAGCTCGTCGCGGTGGGCAACGACATCCTCAAGGGTCTCGCGGAGTTCGGTGACGCGAGTCTTGGCCAGGTTGAGCAGAGTGCCGAGCTTTCCGCCGGATCCCTCGCCCTTGACAATCTTGCCCTTCTCAGAACGCTCAATGTCGTGCAGCTTCTGCTCGAGCTCCTCCTTGCGGGTCTCGAGACCCGCGACCTCGTCCTTCAGGCTAGTCACCTTGGCCTCGACACGACGGCGGAGCTCTCTAGACTCCTTGGCCATCGTCTTGCGTCTCTTAGCAGCCTTATCGATGGCGTCCTTACGCGCAGTTTCAACGCGACGATACTCCTTTCCGATCTCCGCACACTTGTTGGCGCACTTGAGGCCACCAACCTTGCTGTACTCCTCGCTTCCGTCGCAGCAGACGTCGTAGTCGCAGTGGCCATCGTTGACGAACATGAAAGGCACATAGGCGCCAATGTGACCTTCATTGGCACACCAGAAGCCCGGGAGGGCATTGGAGGTATTGGTCGTGCCCGTCAGGGAGCCGGCGAATGGCTGCTGAGGGGAGAGGGGGTCGAGGTGCGCGCAGGCAGCGGTGCCAGGCTCATCGGAGCCATCAGGACAGTCGCAGCTATTGTCATTGACCTGGCTGAAGCGAAGTTTGATTTCGGGGTGGCCTATGCACTTGAAGGAGGGCTTGAGCTCGAAGAACTTGGCGACTGCAAGGAATCATGTTAGTGACAGATCATGGACCTTCAAGACAAAGCTTCAGGCCAATTGGTCAGGTAACAAAGGAAGGGGAATGTAGAGAAAGAAACCCTGTTCCATTTCTCCCATATGAACTTGAAATGGCCTAATTGCTCCATTTGGGTGAGACTTGGATGGTCGACTGCCGACTGATACTCACATTCAGGACCGACACCTCTAGGCAAGCTAGCTGCAGCGATGGGCGCAGCAGCAGACACAAAGGTGCCCAAAAGCACCATGCCGTAGCTTTGACGCATCTTGATGGTTCTCAAGATATCGAATCGATCATCAATCCGTGCGTTTCGATCGTTGTTGTGGGATTTGTTGTGGTTGTGAAGCTATCCAGATCCAATCCAAAGTGACAGACTGGAGGGTTGGAAACGTGAGGTATTGTACACTATGGAGAGGAAGGTACGGGACTACTTCGTGGAACTTCCAGCTCACCCAAAACGCCTAAGGTGGGTTGGGCTGACAGGGGTGTCGGAGCTGGCGACGGGCAGCTGCAAAGACGGTCACGTGTCAGTATCTCTATCATCGACACTGTCTGCCCCACCAGCTCTTATCACTATGGGTTCTAATTGGAGACTGCCGCCAGTCTTGAGGAAGGAGCACTGGACACTTTTTGAGCGGGAAGGATCGGTACGTACCTGCCCAAGCGACGAATAAGGTACGTATCTTATCCAGATACCCCTCCATCCAGTACGCGGGGCACAATGACTTTGCAGCATTTTTGGTCATATTGAATTTTCGTAGCCTGGACATCTTCAATATCGGAGCAAACCTCCGCGTCGACCACCACCGAGGCCTGCAAGGTGTTTGCGAGACACACAGACCCGTCAACATGGCTTCCTCAAACTCCTCCACTACACCAGCAGCTCTGAATGCTCTGTCGGACACAGCTGTCGTCTTGATGCAGCAGTTGGAGGCTGTTCTCCAGAACATCAACAGTGGCAAAGACACCCCTCAGCAGACTGATACCTCGTCCGTCGATGCCTTTGCTCTCGCTCGTGATTCAGCTACCCTGATCAAGGCGCACTCAACCAAGATTTCCGTTCTCATCATCAACGAACCCTTCACACCCTCGGCCGTCATCAAAGTCCTCCGAGAACTCGTTGGCGGCCCGATTCCCGGCATCGCCACCGCAGGCCAGGCTTGTGACGCAGACCGATATACGGCTACTGTTCGGAAAGATCTGGCTTGGAAATGTTACACTGTATTGAAGGAGCTCCGCGGTCTGGTTGAGAAGATCCCTAGGGATGGCAAGATTCTGTCAACAGCGCAAAAGTCAGGCTCCACGGGTGCACCTGGCAAGGGCAGTATGGCTGCCACTGGTGTTATTTGGTCGGCTTGCGACGATCTGGTGCAATTTGCCACCGGAGGTATCGGCGGCTGCTTCATCAAAAAGGTTGAAGAGTTCAGGGCGACGCTGAAGGATGTCATGGAGGAGCTCAAGGAGTGGGGTGACGAAGAGCCGGAAGACGACGAAGACGATGACGACGACGACGATGATGATGATAATGCCGTAAATGATGCGGACCACGATTCGGCCCTAGGTTCCATGATGCCCTCGGCGCAGGAAATGATCGACGACATGATGGCGAACCAGGGGACGATTCCTCGCGACGACCCCGACAAGATCCGCGAGCGTCTCGAGTCCTGTCTGAAGCGCGTGAGACTGACAACGCTGCTATATCAGGCCATCATCAAGCGACGACTCAAGACACTACCCTCCCTTCCGGTCGAGAACTCGGATATCCCTAAGCGTCTGGACGAGTCGATGCGGGTCCTCAGGAAACTCCCGCACATGTTCGACGAGCTTGCCGGCGCATTCTACGAGCTCTCACCTGATGAAATCGATCGAGTAATGAAGCTGTGCTTCGATGAGATCGTTGGGCTTTCGGAACTTCTCAAGTCACCTTGGACTGGAGAAAGCGATGAGTTTTCCCAGTGGGTTGGCAAGTTCCAGGCTGAAATCAAAAAGGGTTGAGCCGCCCAATTCGGCCTGCACACACCCAACCATGTGTTCGTATTCAGCTACACACGGGAGCTAGCGCGGCCTCGCCCTTCATCCGCCTCTTCCACGCGGGTATAAAGTTGCCTTGCGTCTTATGAAGGTTTCGTTGACGAGCATGAAACATGTTCACTTCGCCTTACCTGATAGCTGCGACAAGACTTTTATTGGTCAGTTGACGCCAAGCTGACTGTCTGTCGCCGCTCGTGAGGGTGCTAGTCTAAGACATTATGACCTGGAGTCTTTGAGGGGAAACATCACCTGTTGGTGTGGGGGAGCAGCGCGGTCACGAGAAGACAGCCAGTCATCCGTTACTTTGTGTAAATATTGCACATGGCCTGCAAGCCAGCTGCCTGGTTACAGTACGCCGTAGATGCGACCTTTATAAAGTCGCCGGGCCTCTATAGCAGAGATGAATATCATAATCAAGATATGCACACAGAGATGGATTCGGAAAGGGGACCAGGCAATGCGCCAGGCGTGCCCAAGAGCGACCGTGGTCTCAAAATTGCCGTACGGTTCACTTAACCTTATTCTGTATAACGTGGTCATCCTGCGCTGACGCAGTCTAGATTATTGCCGTGACCTTGAGCAGCAAGATTGCTCATATCGCCACCGACATCTTGACCCTTCCATACAACCGCTTCTATCAGCAAAACACCTTGCTACCGATATTAGCCATCGCCAAAGCTGTTGAAGATCGCGAATCCGACGAGGAAATTTCAGCACAACTGAAGCGATGGCGAGATCGAAAGTTGAGCGAATTTCAGCTCGTTCAAGTTGCTGTAAGTCATCAACGCCTTCGCTTTGCGCGATCATGTACTCACTCCTCGCAGAGCACCTTGATTTCAGCTGCCGTCATCGGTTGCTTTTCATGGCCGCCTCCCGACTCATTGCACTGGCTCAGCCCAGCATTTTGGCACGCGAGCATCTCCTTCTCCCTCTTCTCCATCCTCCTCGCTGCCTCCGAGCAGTTCATCTTTCAGACTCTTCATCGATCCCCGACGCCGCGTAATGTTGACAAAGACCTCGCCATGATCCTTTATATACGTCGCAGCAGGACTGTCGAGCCCATGCACTCGCCACTCGAGGAGGTGCCTCCCATCCCGCAGATCCGTGCCATCAAGATTAAGAAGAAGGGCGGGTGGATCCCAAAGGAGATGCCGTTTGTAGAGGTTCGGTGGAATATGATCTTCACGTGGCAGGCGCCTATGATGTTAATGGCCTACTCGGCCATTTGCTTCCTCGGCGGATTGACGGTGTACGTTTGCGCGCCATTGTATGACGGCCAGGGATGGGTTGGAGCAAGCAAGGTTTGATCACCCGGTTCGCTCTTTTTCACGAGCATCACTGACCAACCCAGGCCGCCGTGTTTTACCTCGTCAGCTTCTTTTTGTGTGGCATCACTTTCATCTGGTGCGCATTTTGGGCATATCGGTTTGTCGACTTGGAGGATCCCTAGATGCTTCGGTCGCCGTGGCATGCAACATGAAAAGGCATCAAGATGATGTGAGCTGGGGTCAGATGCTGTAGGTAGCATCCGATGCTAGCCACACAGTCGCCGGATGACTCACGCCGTCCCTGGAACACACCTTGGTTGGCGACGATTTAGACTGTATTGGAGTACTTCATAACAGCACGTTAGACACATCACCACATAGACTCAATCCCTTAATCTAGAAACCAGTTTTGACAGCATTCACGTATTATTCTGTGCAGCGTGTTGTAGGAAATCTGTCACAAATCATTCAAGAAGACATTAGGAAAGATGTCTTGCTCAATTGAAGAGATTGCCAAACACTATGAATTTGATCCAACGATCATTCAACGCATCGCAACGCGAACATCCAAACCTGCACTTTCCATCGAACCCCCAAACCCCGAGTGGCCACAACATTTCCAAGACATTAAGTCTCTCATAGAGAACGCCATCGGTTCTGTAGCTGTCAGCATAAGCCATGTCGGCTCGACATCGGTGCCAAACCTTCCCGCCAAGGACGTCATCGACATTGACCTCGCCGTTGAGAACCCGACGGATGAGGCCGCCTACGCGCCCGCACTTGAGAAGGCCGGCTTCCAGTTCCTCTTGCGCGAGCCCGAGTGGCACGAACATCGCTTCTTCGCCATGCACAGGCCGTTTTCCTGTAACCTACACGTCTTCAAAGTCGGGACGGCCGAGTTGGCCAGACATCTCATCATGAAGGAGTGGTTGATTGAACATGACGATGACAGAGATCTGTATGCAAAGACCAAGACGGAGGCCGCAGGCATGAGTAATTCGCTGGGTGAGACTGTGATGGAATACAATTTTAGGAAAGAGAACGTCATCCGTGCTATCCTTGAACGGGCATTCAAAGCCAAAGGATATCTTCCGTAGATAGGCAGGGTTGTCGTTTGAGATGAGCTAGCGTATGTCCGTTGCGAAAAGGCAAACAACAAGTGGGAGAAATGATCCACTTTGACACAGCGAGTCCATAGTGTATAGTGAAATTTCATCCAATTCTTCTCGTACAATAGAATCCTCTAGATCCCGTCAAGCAAAAATGGAAGCTGGTCCAAAAAGACGCCGAAAGACATGCGAAAGCCAGGCAGCCTGGATCAAGCGCCTGCGAAATACAGTCCCAGAAAGACGGGGTGAGCAAGTTCGGCCGACTGATGCAGTGCACGCAGGAATTCGATATCTCCGCAATAGGTTTTAGTCGACCGAGCATCTTAACCTAGAAGCGACGAGACTGAATCATCGAGAACCACTGCACGTGACGGTTTAGCCTTGATCATTACATTTCACGTTCATAGAGATTGTCATGAAGCTTCTGCGGGCGCAATGAACCAATCGAAAGATCATGGACATATGTCATAGTACTTACGCGGTACCGTCTAAGAACGGCTCTTCATGCCTTGCCGTACTAGCTCCATACGACTTAGCCGGTATAGTTAAGTGTAAATGGCTCTTGAGCTCATGGCGAAATACAAGAAACATCGTCTTTTGACGAAGTTTTGAGTAGCCCCCTAACAGGTTTCAATCGCTCTATTGCTATTTCACAGAGCTCTCTCTCAGGAGCCGCGACAGTAGTCTCAGTTGTCTATGTTAGGATTACAGGAATCTAGACAGACCATCTGCTCACCAAGACGTGGCTTGTGGCATGCTTCAAAGATTACACCCAAAGCTTGAATAAAAAGAATCAGGTGAATTTTGCTTTGATGGGCTCGAGAGTCTACATCTATCTAAGGACAATTCTATGGGCCTATGACCAACCTCAGTAAGCCCCGCCTACTCTTCTCGGTCTGTCCAAGACCGACAGGAACATGTCTTGCCTGTTTACAAGTAATACGGACCGGCCGTACAATACTGTATTTGGCCGAATGAGACTACGGCCCACCCTTGAAAGCTAGCAGCAGCGAATACGCGGCAGTACGGTAGGACCGTTGCGGTTAGTGAGTCTCCCAGCTGTCCGAAGGCCGAAGGTCTTAACAGGACCGAACCGGTGTTTTCTTGAATAGTCCAAAGTGTTTCACAGCTATTTCTCCTCATGCTTACAAGCGGCGCGCTTGACTCGGAGCAACCAATGGAAGCCAAAAGCTGGCTGGTGCGACCACAGCCACACGGGAATCGGCTCCTAGTCTTGACGTCACTAATGCCACAGCGCTCTCGTAAAGCCCGAAATGGATGTCGGCTTGCGGGCCATACCCATCGCCGAGTTGTCGCGCCCATCGAGATGCCATCACCGTGTACATCGCGACGCATATCGAGCACAACGTTTCAATTCATATCCTACTAATGCTATAGATACCCTTCATCACCCAGCAGGCCTGGCTAGCAGAGTGGCTTGTCCAAGCTACACAGTTTGCAAACGCTCTCACCAGTACGCCAATCTACTATTCAACTGCACCACTCCCAATCACATGTCTTCCCTCAAAGTTCTCATCTCAGGTGGAGGCATTGGCGGCCCGGCCCTTGCGTTCTGGTTGGCGAAGCTCGGCCACGATGTAACCATCCTTGAGCGATCCCCTTCCCTTCGCGTTCAGGGTCAACAAATCGACCTTCGAGGCCAAGGAGTTACTGTTGTGCGCCGCATGGGACTCGAAGGACTCATCCGCGACAAGGTGGTCAACGAAGCTGGCGTCCGATTTGTCAACGGCAAAGGGAAGACACAGGCGACCTTTGAAGCAAACAAATCTGGTGTTGGCAAGCAGGGCTTTACATCAGAATTTGAAATTATGCGCGGCGATTTGGTTCGGCTGCTTTTCGATAAGACGACTGCACTTGGAGTGAAGTACATTTTTGGTGTCAAGATCGAGACGTTCGAACAGGATGCAGGCTCGGTAACGGTCCACCTGTCAGACGGAACCACGGACACATTCGACCTGCTGGTCGGAGCTGATGGTCAGGGATCCAAGACGAGACGGCTCATGCTCAGCCCTGGTGAGAAGGATCCGTTCTATCCTCTTGGCGTGCATATGGCCTTTTACACCGTCCCGAAATGGAAGACGGACGACAACTACGCCACGGTGTGCGTGTGCCCCAAGAAGCGTGTGCTCTTTTCCAGAAACGACAATCCTGAGACGACCCAGGCATACCTCGCCGTGTGTCCACCAGACAAGGAGACGGAGAAGCTTCTCATCGAAACGGAAAGAAGCCGCGATCTTGTACGGCAGAAGCAGGTGTGGTCAGAGCTCTTCAAGGATGCTGGCTGGCAAGCCGACCGCTTTTGCGATGCGCTCAACGAAGACGGTGTTTCCAATGACTTTTACTGTGTCGAGATTGGACAGATACGCATGGGCAAGTGCTACAAGAATCGTGTGGCCCTTCTTGGAGATGCGGGATATGCACCCAGCGTCTTGACGGGCCGGGGCACGACATGCGCGTTCATCGGTGCCTACGTGCTCGCTGGCGAGATCTCCAAACACTGCTCGGGGTCTTCAGGGAAGGCGACGGACGGTATTCCTGCCGCCCTCGAGTCATACAACAATGAGATTTTGGAGCTCATGAAGGAAGTTCAAGACATTGGTTTTAAGCCGTCCTGGATCTACCCCAACTCGTCGTGGGTTATTTCAATTCTGTACACGATCTTGTGGTTGGTGTCGACTTTGAGGATCGACAAGATTCTCCAGCGACTCCAATCAGATGATGTGCCGGGCTGGCAACTTCCTGATTATTCTGGGCTTGCGTACGCCGAAGAGAAAGAAGCCAAGAAGCTCGCTCATTGAAGGGAATTGGGGGCAAGCGAGGATGAGTTGTGGCGTTTTGTCGTTATCTGACTTGGATTGGCGTTTATGAGGACTCAGCGGGTTGAGAATTTGCACCATTGAGTTTGTAATATCACAGCTTAACTCCAATCATATTACACACTATCTTTTTCGATGCTTCATGGTTGAGTAAGAGTGTCACGTTGTAATGGGGAAGCAAGAGTGTTCTGGGCTCAGCTTACCAGAGACAATGTCGTGATACAACTGTAGCCTCCGCGCCACGGCGAACATAGCCACCACGCTTTATCGGGTGAAACGTACACAACCTCAGGACGCATGGTAGATCAGCTGACCTGTATTCCATGCAGTTTTAAGAAGCAGACTGTATCGCTAGTTCAACCCTAGCAACCCCAACGACTCTATGAAGATGTCGGCTTCTGAGGTCGACTTTTTGCGATTTTGCAGAGAGCGAAGGGGGTAATCGGCTGTCAGATGTAACAGGCAGTGAGGCTGGTTCCACTTTTGGTTCCCCAGGGAAAGAGCGCACACATTTGCGCTGTTCTTCGCCGTCCCCAGACAAAAATCGTCACAACACCACCAAATCACAAAAATATGATACTAGGATGGTGTGAATAGCTTCACATGAATCCAGACATGCTGTGAGGCATTGAACCACACCCGATTTGAACGGATAACCTTTCGATAGAGCCAAAGCTGGAGTCGAACGCGCTACCGTTGCGCCAGCGGTCCTTGTTGGGACGCTGGGCGAGATAAGTGACTAGGACGGTTCCAACGAGCAAAGCGGGGACACGAAGCGGGGTACACAACTTCAATGGATCTCATATGCATATGTGCGGGTCGCAAACATGTGGTTTGGACCAGAAAACCCTTGCATCATTTTTTCCTGATTCATACTGTCCATCTGTCTATGAATGGTGTTTTCACTGTGAGAAACTGAAGCACCAGGGACACTGGCCAACTCCTAGCCATTTACACCTTAAGCCAAAGGTAAGTGGGTCAACCAAATGAGGAGTTGTCTTCTCGCATTGTTGCCTCACACAAGAAGTGAGACCGCCCCATCTTTACGAAGATAGAGTGTGCTAACCACTTTCTCGAGCACACCCTCCTCTTTGACTTCCAGGTTTTTCAAAGATCAGTTAACGTAATGCTCAGGTATTACTATAGAAGAAGACTTGTTGTTGTTCGGGTTGCTGACTTCGTTACTATAAGGTAGTTAGGAAATGAAACTCAATTCAAAGTAGGTGGCAGTCAGTACTTTCCTTGCACAAAAGTTTAGTCTTCAGCTTATGAGAAAAACTTTATATGACCATGGAACGTTCCATTTGCCTTGAGAAGGCCAGTGTGATTAGAAGTCTCTTCTATGGCCGGCCTGATGCGGCCGATGTAGCGAATTACCGGTGCTCGATGGAGCAGGTGCAAGTCCCTGGTGATAGGCTCAATCTCGCATTTTCAAAATTAGGAATTGTACAACAATGGTGACATGCGAGACCAAAAAAGCTTGAGGCCTTTTGCAAGTCATCATCATTCACACCAGACCAAGTACATTGCATCAGCTGCCAATTGGATTTGCTAGCGACAACTATAATTTTCTCTCTTTACGCTGTGGCGTGACTTTACTTAACAAGTCGCCTTCAGAAGAACCCATCCAAATGCGATTGGCGTTCTTCTTGTTGGCGCTTCCGTCCTTCAAGGAAAAGGGTTGCCAACGCCACCGCTATCACCAGCATTGCTCATCTCATTGAGGCTTGCAGGGAGTGATAGGAGGAGGGTATTGGTCGCTCTCTTCGTCAGAATTGCCAGTCCCATCATCGGCAGAAGTATCAGCGCTTTTCTTGTCGCCTGCTTCATCACGAATGTCTGTGTTATCGTTGGCGGGAGTACCAGTATTGTCCTCGTTGCCTCCTTCGCCTGACTTGAGCTTGCCTGCCTTCGAGGAAGGAGAAGGGCTTTCCTCAGGAATAGTGTCGCTGCCAGTTCTCCCATGTTCGTTGTACCTCCCACTGGCATGACGATAGTTGGAATTTTGAAGGTTGCCCTTGGCGTCACGGTCGAAGGCAAATTCTTCTATTTTCTCCCTCTTTGCAGCCTGCTCTTGCGTTTCGGGCGGCTTCTCTGTGTCTCCAGCGGCAAAATCCATTACATCTTTGTAGTGGGCCCTGTTGGGATTGATTCGCTTTCTGTCATCGTCGCCGCCGCCGCCGTCATCACCGCCGCTGTTGTTGCTCAAGCCCGGGGCTGAGGTAGGGTTCGAGGTTGAGGTCTGGGCCTGAGAATTCATAGTGAAAATGGTATTGCTGAGCGGAGACTGAAGCTTTGATGGTAAGGTACGAGGTAGTGGCAGTGTGTGGAGTGGATTGTGAACGAGGAGTACGTGTCGAAGTTTTCCCATGTTTGGCGAGGAAGTCATCCTTTTATATCAGTATCTAGTCTCTGCGTCTGCTGTGTCTTCGATGTGGAACACATATTCTAGTCTAAAGCATGGAAGTTGGACGCCATACTAAGTTCATTCTTGAAAGACTTGCGAGTGAGTCTTGTAATCGCTCCTTTACCTCTTGGACAGAGTTGCTGTCATGAGCGCCACATACCGTCCACTAGATTGGACTCGTGTTGCTAGTTTCCTCAATACTAGAATCATGTACAACCACACCTCAACAGGGGGGCATTTGACAAACTTCACATGCAACGAATATTCAGCTTAAAGCAGTGGGTAGATACGTAGACTATTCTCTTTTAGCTGTGTGCAAACTCTGTTCGCCACAGCCGTGATTGGACGCAGCGAGTCCATCATTCCTAAGTGGTTGCAACACGACTTTCTTCCTTTATCTTTCCAAACGTGATTGCTTCTGCATAAATGACTGGATAGCTTCTTCATTGTTCAATGTAACACATACGCAATTGAACAGCGCAAGAGGGTTGCTTTGTAAACAATCGGGGGATGGTCACATAAATGCTTTAACATCTTTGAACATAACTCACGGTCCTAGCTGGCATAGTGCATGCTACACGACCTGGCTCCTTCTGAACACGGGTCATTGAATCATCATTTCATCTTGGCCGATTTCTTTGGATGCAAAAATAACGCTGCATGAATCACGTGGTCATGTTTGCCATGTCAAAGGAGAGTGTTCATACATGGACAGGCCTAGACAAGTATACGGTACACCACGTGACAGGAATCGTACTACTTCAAACTTTGTCTTCACCCAGGACCAGGTCTCAACTCTCGAATGTGGAACCGTTTGCAGGCTCGTGGACTCTCTTCACTTGAACCAGCAGAAAAGGGGATCATTTGGTCCGCATCGAAGTGCAATCGTCGGCAGGTACGTTCACTCGTGATATTATAAACAAGGAAACCGGATGACTCAAATCCTCTTCTACGAAATTATGTTCATCTTAACCATGCTGGGTGTCTTGGTATGCCTCCGGTGTTATGTTTTATGTACCTGCTCCAACGACCTAGGCAATTCTGAAACCATGCTTTCACTTGAAATCATCAACATTTCGAACTCCATCCAACGTTCCACTCTCGCCAAGATCAGTTATGTGTTGTGCCATAAGCTACCTTCCTAAAGATTTCAAGGTCACTGTGGTCATTTGCTAAAAGTTCACGCAGTATGAGTAGAGTTTGCATGGCAAAGCAGCCTTGAGGGCACATGCGTACATCCTTATCTACCATTGACAGTGTAATCAGAAGTCTCTCCGCAAGGCGTTCCTCTGTAGCTTCTGTACCCGTCCTTCTTATGCTGCGTATGTGTTATATTACTATGCCCCCCTTCGACAAGATGGCATTTGTAAGTACGTCATAGCTGCTGACACATGTGAGGAAGACTCACTCATGCCCAGGTTAACACGACTCGGACACCTGTGAGACAAGCCATCACGATTGGATGGCGTAAATTTGAACATAAAAGTGATATTTCACCCAAGAAGACGCACGTGAGCACAATTATTTGAGTTCAATGTCACAGTTCTTTATCTGAAGATGGCTGCGCCGCCATATCTCTCTTAAGCAATTCATGGCCAGGGAAATCAACTCTTGGCCTGGAGTTTTCAAAGTTTCGAAATTAGGTACATTAAATAAGCGAAGATAAAGTTCTTTCGGGTTCTCTCTTTGGTATTTACCAGTCTTATCTTATTCATCCTCTCCTGAGATCTTGGTCTTCACTGGTGATAGCTTTATCAGATAAGGCAAGCCAGCAGCCCGGCGATGAGAGCTGCTAAGCTGACGCCCTGAGCAGCAGCACCTGCCGTTGGGACCGTGCTCGGTGCCATGGTCGAAGTCATGGTAGCACCCGTCATCGTTGAGGTCATGGTAGCGTTCATGCCTCCCGTCGCAGTGGCATTCTTCGGGGCCATGGCGGGCTGGTAGCTAGCGCAGGTAGAGTTGGTAGAGATGGGGCAGCTGTCTTGAATGCAAATAGCCTGTAGTTGAGGACCCTGCTCTGGGATGGCCGTGGCAGGCGGGCTGCAGCGCATGCCAAAGAGTTGGTTCAAAGCCATACCGACTGCCTTGAGGTCGTCCTGGGCGACACCAAAAGAGGCAGCAGCCATGGCAACCTGGGTAATGAAATAGCCAAGCTCATTTTGGTCCAAGTCCATGAACTTGTGTACCTCGTACATGGAAGCAAAGCCGCTGTACTTGGGGAACCCGGCCATGCCGTATTGAGAGCAGCCGAGAAGGGCACCGAAGAATTGGTACAAGTGAGTCAAGAGGAAGCTGAGTGAAAGCTCACGTTAGCATTCTTCGGGTGATTAACAGACTTGAGTGGGTTAAACTCACTATTGCTTGGATATGTCGTCATTGGCAGGCATGTTTTTCATCAACGGGGCAGCACCGCCTCCATCGAGGAAGTTGACTGACACACCGGAACTGCCGCCCCGGTTCGATGAAGCCAAGTCTCCGTTGAAGTAAGGAAGGAGGTTGACCTCAGCGCCGTTGTACATGCCAGGTGCCAGGATACCATCGACCTTTATTCCGACATTCGGCATCGTATCTGATTATACTCGTGTGAGCGGCAGGGACCTTGAGACACAACAGCGGTGTGACTTACAATTTCCAATAACAACAGTGTTGACCAAGAGCGTAAGGAGCGTGTATTGGTTCGCGCCAGTGTTGTTCTTCAACAGCGCCGTTGTGTAGTAGTCGCAGATGGGAGTGTCGGCAGGGCGCTGGGCAATGACGCCTGTGGCAATAGCCAGAGCAAGTGCGATATTTTTGCAGTACATATTGATTAGCTGATACAGCCCGATTGTCGACTTCGTGATTCAAGGTATCAGAAAGAATTTGGCGAATATTTCCAACGCTCATCAAAGAAGAGCAATGTCCAGCTTATAAGTGCGACGTAGGCAAGGCTGAAAGCGCAGCCGACTTCCATCATCGTCATCCATAGGTAGCATTGGTGCCGTTTCAATCACTTGTCTCTCAACAATATCAGTCAAATGACACCAGTCGGGAAATGATGGTCTCGTCAAGCCTTGGCACTAGTTGTGACCAAGAGTTTAAAGCTAGTAGACTGCCAGGCACTAGCGCCGGGCCAGCCCAGATCCGGGGAGAACAATGTCCACGTCGGGATAGCAGCTTACATCTACGGAATTAAGTCTTTTCTTATTGGATGGCTGAAGCCGTTAAAGCCCCGGATTCTAGCTGTCCGGATAGCCTAAGCCAACGATCCGAATCCCGAGGGCCGGGAGCGTCAAGGAAGCCGCCAGACCGTTGTCTTACCCAGTGTTCCACGTTACTGGGATCCCTACGTGGCATGTCAACAAAGGCAATGATCTGATGAACACGTCCCATCAAAGTTTCCATATTCTCCATCGTAACAAAGCTGACCTTCGGATCAGTTCGTTCCCGGTACCTGTTTCCCCAGTTGATCAGCAGGAACCTATCCAGTTGGGCAGGAGACGGAGGAACCTTTATCTTCGACGGATAGATTGCGTCCCGACTTGAGAATAGCAATTTCTCCTGGAGGACTATGTTTAGTTGTCCTGGAGAGTGCAACATGCTCTTCAAACTAATCGTAACAGTCTGGTATGTATTCCTTAGCCCACGTTCGTTAGGCCACCCTTCAAATTCATCCACCCATAAGACGTCACTTCATCTATTCAGAGACGTTTGCGACCTTTGATATCCTCACTCGGCATTTGAATTGATCAACAAGGATTTATTGTCAGACCGGCAGAGGGGTATCGGGTCGTGCACAATCTGGGATTCCACTCAGCTTGAAGAATAACAAACTTCCACAGCTCTGCTAGCTTCTGTGAGCTCCTTCAAACCCCTCAATCGCAGCCTATCAATACTGTGGCCCAATCAGCTTTGGCCTAGTTCATAGCACCGGGACCCCAAATAGTCAACAGGCGAGACTAGCTTGTCGTTAGGTCCTCTACATGGGGAGGTCGGCACTTCTATGAATTTGTCACAACCACTGCCGGCTTCAACTTCGTTGGTTCGCCTCCCCAGAGTGATTTTCTTCTACACAATCCACCCATGTTCTCAGAGTTGCGGCATTAGGGGGAATCGAACCACTAATACTTGGTTCAATGACCAGTGATGTGGTGCCAGCGTGGGAATCAACGAACACGGATTGACCTGCCCGATTTGCACTCTATCCACTTTAGAATAAAGTACGTGTAATTGTTCCAGGTGTTTTTCACCTACAGAAACAGTAAAATTCTTTCCCGACAGGGAAATGAATGAAGAAGATAACAAGAAGATCCCTCGTGATGAGGATCATCCATCGGTGAGCTAGCTCGTTTCGTGAAACGTTACTCTGACTTACTGCAGTAGAGCGACTGAAATCTCGCGGTAATCAATTCCCTATCTAGGGTAGAGCGTCTAGGCATAGGTAACAGAATTGTAAACTGTCTCTTTGCCTGCCTAAGGTACCTGTCGGAAGCTCATGAAGAGCCCCTGGAACACTTTTGCCTAGGACGCTGAGAACATTTGACGGCACGCGTGGAACGAAAGCAAAGAATCATCACGGTTCAAGAACGGATGAGACTCGGGTGAGAAAGTTGGGTGTATTTGTCCGACGACCAATTATACAGATCCCACGACGCGACTTGTGTGAAGCTATCCTCGTGGCGTTAGAGGTACATGTAGCGACAAGACTATGCGGACGCTACGCATCCTGACGCCATGACAAGCGCCTTCCAGTAGCCAGATGGATTGGGACAAGTATCATATCCGGGGTAGGTAGAACGGCAGGCGTTGATAGTTATGCCGAGGCAAATCGCAATTTCAAAGATGATCCTGAGGATAGGAGACGCCGCAACAATGAG